TATACCTACAACTCCTCCGCCTGCGCCCGTTCCTTCTCCTACATACTTTCTTCAGACAGCGAGGAGAGGCTGAGCAAATTGGTGGCACTGGCCACAGTGCCTCCATGATAGTGGCGCCAGCCGCAGCTCGTGAAGCGAGGGGGCGGCTGAGCAAGTCGGCGGTGCTGGCCGCAGTGCCTCCATGATCGTGGCGCCAGGCGCAGCTCGTGAAGCGAGAAAGGGCTGAGCAAGTCGGCGGTGCTGGCCGCAGTGCCTCCATGATCGTGGCGCCAGGCGCAGCTCGTGAAGCGAGAAAGGGCTGAGCAAGTCGGCGGCGCTGGCCGCAATGCTTCAATCTTTGGCGCCAGCCGCAGCTCGTGAAGCGAGGAAGGGTTGAGCAAGTCGGCGGCGCTGGCCGCAGTGCCAACGTAATGGCGGCGCCAACCGCAGTTCGTGAAGCGAGGCTGGGCTGATCCAGTCGGCGGTGCTGGCCGCAGTGCCTCTATGAGAGTGGCGCCAGCCGCAGCTCGTGAAGCGAGGAAGGGCTGAGCAAGTCGGCGGCACTGGCCGCAGTGCCTCCATGATTGTGGCGCCAGCCGCAGGTCGTGAAACGAGGGGGGGGCTGGGCAAGTCGGCGGCGCTGGCCGCAGTGCCTCCATGATCGTGGCGCCAACCGCAGCTCGCGAAGCGAGGAAGGACTGAGCAAGTCGGCGGCGCTGGCCGTAGTGCCTCCATGATCGTGGCGCCAGGCGCAGCTCGTGAAGCGAGGAAGGGCGAGGAAGGGCTGAGCAAGTCGGCGGCGCTGGCCGCGGCGCCTCCATGCGCGCGGCGCCGACCGCAGCTCGCGAGGCGAGGAAGGGCTGAGCAAGTTGGCGGCGCTGGCCGCAGTGCCGACGTTATTGCAGCGCCAACCGCGGCTCGTGAAGCGAGGAAGGGCTGAGCAAGACGGCGGCATTGGTCGCAGTGCCTCCGAACTGGCGGCGCCGACCGCTGCTCGTGAAGCGAAGCCGGGCTGAGCACGTCGGCGGCATTGGTCGCGGTGCTTCCATAATAGCGGCGCCAACCGCGGCTCGTGAAGCGAGGAAGGGCTGACCAAGTTGGCGGCGCTGGCCGCGGCGCCTCCACGCTGGTAGCCGGCCGCAGCTCGTGAAGCGAGGCGGCGGCGCTGGCCGCAGTGCCCCCGCAACAGCGGCGCCAACCGCGGCTCGTGAAGCGAGGAGGGGCTGAGCAAGTCGGCGGCGCTGGCCGCGGTGCCTCCATAATAGTGGCGCCGGCCGCAGCTCGTCAAGCGAGGGGGGCCGAGCAAGTCGGCGGCGCTGGCCGCAGTGCCGCCATGACAGTGGCGCCAGCCGCAGCTCGTGAAGCGAGGGTGGGCTGATCCAGTCGGCGGCGCTGGCCGCAGCGCCTCACTGCTAGCGACGCCAAACGCAGCTCGTGAATCGGGCAAGAGCTGCGCAAGTCGGCGGCGCTGGTTGCAGCGCCGACGTAATAGCGGCGCCAACCGCAGCTCGGGGGGCGAGGGGGGGCTGAGCAAGACGGTGGCATTGGTCGCAGTCCCTCCATGAAAGCGGCGCCAACCGCAGCTCGCGAAGCGAAGCCGCGCCGAGCAAGTCCGTGGCGCTGGCCGCATTGCCTCCATGATAGCGGCGCCAGCCGCAGTTTGCGATGCGAGGAAGGGCCGAGCTAGTTGGCGGCGCTGGCTTCGGTGCCGCCGTAATCGTGGCGCCGACCGCAGCTCGTGGAGCGATGGGGGGGCTGGGCGAGTCGGCGGCGCTGGCCGCGGCGCCTCCACAATGGTGGCGCCGACCGCAGCTCGTGGAGCGAGGAAGGGCCGAGTAAGTCGGCGGCTCTGGCCCCGGCGCCCCCGTGACGGCGGCGCCGACCGCAGCTCGTGGAGCGAGGAAGGGTCGAGCAAGTCGGCGGCGCTGGCCGGGGTGCCTCCATGGTGGCGGCGCCAACCGCGGCTCGTGAAACGAGGAATGGTTGAGCGGGTCGGCGGCGCTGGCCGCGGCGCCCCCGTGATGGCGGCGCCAGCCGTGGCCCGTGAAGCGAGGGGGGCCGAGCAAGTCGGCGGCGCTGGCCGCAGCGCCTCCAAAATGGCGGCGCCGACCGCAGCTCGCGAAGCGAGGAAGGGCTGACCAAGTTGGCGGCGCTGGCCGCGGTGCCTCCATGATGGCGGCGCCAACCGCGGCTCGTGAAGCGAGGGGGGGCCGAACAGGTCGGCGCCGCTGGCCGCGGTGCCTCCATAATAGTGGCGCCAATCGCAGCTCGTGAAGCGCAGCAGGTCCGAGCAAGTCGGCGGCGCTGACCGCGGTGCCTCCATGATGGCGGGGGGGAAGGGCTGGGCAGGTCGGCGGCGCTGGCCGCAGTGCCTCCGCTATGGCGGCGCCGACCGCAGCCCGTGAAGCGAAGGAGGGCTGGGCGAGTCGGCGACGCTGGCCGCGGCGCCTGCACAACGGCGGCGCCGACCGCAGCTCGCGAAGCGAGGAGGGGCTGAGCAAGTCGGCGGCGCTGGCCGCGG